AATTTAACACAGAGGGAAATTACTTTTTCACATGTAGACAGGTTGGTTTGAATAACTTTTTCTTTTTAAAAGAATGAGTCTTCATTTGAAAACTGCTTTTTGTTTTTATTCAGGTCATCTTTATTTGACATCAAGCCGTCTGATGATCTGGAATATTTTAAAACGAAACGKAAGAAATCTGTAGGGGGTGGAACAGTTTTTCACATCACCGTCTATCAGCTGGTGAACTTTAACACTTAGTTTGTGGCGCTGCAGGGAAGCTGACCTGAAGAGGGCCCTGTTGGAACTTGGTGGGACGGTGCTGCAGCAGGTGACCGAAGCTCTGAGCGCCCCAGGAGGAGGAGGAGGAGGAGGAGGAGATCTGTCTGAGGAGAGCCAGAATCTGCTGAGAGGACAAATATCTGACCTGTGGAAGAACAACAATCCTGTTCGCACGCTTATAGGTCAGACATGAACTCAAGAGGTTTTWTTCTTTGCAGACATTTACCCTTTAAAGGGGACCTATTATGCAAAATTCACTTTATAAAGTTTTTTTTACTCAACTTTGGGTYTGTACTTCTTAAAAAAAACAGTCCTAGGACCAAAAAAATGCACCCAGGGGCACATTTACTGTATTTTAAATGTATATTAACGACAAGTTTTATACTTCCGTCATTTTGTGATGTCACAAGCCGTACGGCAACCCACCTGAGCCTGCGTTCAGCCCCTTACCTAGCAACCCCCGGTGAGACTCCACCTCCTCAGGATAAAAAGCCGTCATGGTTGTTGTTGTACAATGCGCAGCTCATTTCACAATAAGTCTCCAATAGGGCAATGGGTAGAGTGTTGAACCAGAGTGGACACAATTTAATTATTTATTTTCATTCGTTATGAACATGTTTTCTCATGCACCTCTATTGTTTAGCTTATTAAAGCCTTGTTAAAGCCTATTTGTTAGAGTTTTTGAGGTATTTTGACCACTGCTGCTCCCTGCTCTGGTAACAGCATGCAGAGTGAGCGCAGAGCAGAGGAGGGGGAGGGAAAAAAAGAAGCTGCGACCACGACTCTGCCTCTGGGTCTCATATGGTTGTACAACGGAGCTTCTGCTATTATTAGCCAATGCTAACGTAAACGCTGGCTTTGGAGGGCGGAGTTAATGTCAACAGATTTTTGAAGGGCGTTACCAACAGAGCTCATTAACATAAATAGCTCTTCTGAACAGAAGTCAGAGCAGGCAGAACTAGAAAATGAGAAATTTTATTATCTGAGAATTATTTTGTGCATTAAATTGAATGAACATGGTCTGGATAGCCCACAGACATAKCATAAACATMTCTAGGACCCATAATTGGTCTCCTTRAAAGTGTTAGAAAATGCYTTTATAAAAACAAGAACTGGTTTATTTTTATGTCATTTTTGTTCCTGTAAAGGATAATTTTAACTCTAATAAATGTTGAACRTTTTCCTTCTTGCATTCCGTCTCTTTAGACGTGCTTTTGAACTCGCATGTTTGCTGCTGCGTAACGTTTGCTTTTCCCTCCCTTTTTTTTGCCTTTCGATCCACCGCAGGAGAGCGAGTTCAGGGCTTRCTCCTGGCCACGCTGCAGGGCGGCTCGGCTAAAAGGAGTCCAGAGCTGCCTTTTCCCCTCGGGCTGGTTAGCGCCGACTTAGCAGAGCTGGGGACAGCCTTCGGGCYAATTGTCCGCTTCAACCAAAGCGTCTTCGGTCCCTTCTACGCTCCCATCCTCAGGAAACTGCTGCTGCCGCCTGGAGAGGCCGAGGCCGCGGAGGGCTCGCGCTAAACCCAGGTCGACCTGAACACAGGCCGACGTTTGAGATTAAATGTGTCGTTTATTTTTTTTAGACTGCAAATATGGTGACGTGGAACAGAAACTTTAAGGGCAGACATAAAACGATGCGGCTGTTTTTATATTTCTTCTTTTTGTTGTTTAATTCACATTTACATTTTCCAAAACTAGAGCGTTTTASTTGATGCCGGGACTTAAAGTCCAAGTGTTAGGACGTTAAACAAAACACAAAACATACAGCAGAAAGAAACAGTCTCCTGATCAAAGACTAATATATTACTGTATAAGGCCAATTCTGACACAACTAGGATGTTGTGTAAATAAAATAAAAACAAAATGCAATGATTTGATAGCCAAAGTTGTCCCAGTTTTCTGTTGAGGAGCTTTATTTTGAAATAGTTTCAGTTTTTCACAGACAAGTGGACCTCTGACCATTTTTACTTCTGACAGATTCAGCCTCTCTAAAAAGGCTCTTTTTATATGCAGACCTCTTTTGGACCTGTTGATAATTGACCTGATTATTTGCAAACTGCTCCTCCTGTTATTTATATCACTTTATTTCTTCAGCCCAATGTTGCTACCATAAAATCCAAAATAATTAGTTAAAAACAAGTGCATTTTCTTAGTTAAAACCAGGGCTATTCAACTGGCAGCCCACGGGCCACATCCGGCCCATGAGTGACCAAAGTTTGGCCCACCAATCGGTTCATTCACCTCTTAAGCCCAAACCCCCGGTTTTCTACTTTGTTGCTGTAAGTTCTTTTAGTTCAGCAGAGACATGTTTGGTG